AAATGAAGAGTAAATTAAATGCAATGAAGAGTTTGTGTGAAATAAGAGACAAAATTCAGTTATTAGTTATTTGAGTTATTATCAGAGCTATACTGTATCCTAAAGATACTATCTTATAGGAAGTAGTCGGCCCACACGCCATCACAAGTTTCATGAAACGAGTCATTGAGTACAAACCGTAAGTCCTTTGGGTCCAAACCGTGGACTTTGGGCGCACCCATCGGCTCATCGCTTAACAGTTGGGGCCAATCAGAGTCCATATGACTGTAAATTAATAATTTTATAATATTAATTCACTTTGTATGAATGATAAATAAGCGATATCACTATCATGAAAGTTAAAAAAAACTTGAAAAATCTAAAATGTCAAATATTCAAATAGTAAACAAATTAAAGTTACCCTGTAAAAACAGCAAATGTGGTCCACATTTTCATCATATATCTGCTAATAATTATATCATTGGGGATATTATAGTGACTTCATAACAGCGCCAATAATTAATTGTAAGGAAGTTATAACATGAAAATTCAAATATTTTCTTACATATTCTCTCCATTAGTGTTAATAACTATTAATAAATACAAAATTAATGTTTATTATAACATAATATTTGTTTTAATTTATTTTATAAAAACTAAACCTTTATTTGAATCCTTAATCGTACGATAAGTTTGTGTTTATTTGCTTTCAAATTATTTTTACTAAATCTGTGAATAATTTTTTGCTGTATAATTAACGGCTGATGACATGAATAGCACACTTAAATATACCATGGTGAAATAAATACTTAAATATATGAATATTAATATTAAATGCTATATCAATTCGTAAATGACTAGTATAAATGTCAATGTACAGAGTGTATACGATGCTTCTCCTCATAAATTAGCATTGGTTCAATGCAAGTTATACCATAAAAACTACTATAATTTCAAAAATTTTGTTTATTTTAAACAAGTTTTTAATAAAACGAATTGTTGATTATATAAACATAAAGTATACTTAATACATGTTTGAAAACAACCGAGTTTATCAAATTCCCACTACAGATTAGAGTGACCAGGTGTACACTATTGAGCAACATTGTACACTATTTCAGCTCATTGTACACTATTTTTATTCTGTACACTATTGTACACTATTTGATCACAACGAAAAATTAACCCAAAAACTAAAAACTTTTATAAAACATTTTGTTTTGTGTATAAGAATTACTTGTAATGAACAACAAATTATGTTTTAAGAGTGTAAAAAATTATAGACAATTATTAATTCAAAATATTATGCGATTGCATAAAGATTTTAACAGAATAGTGTACAAATGTTATCATAAACATGATTAAGGGCACATATTTGAGTATTCTAAAATAGAACTGTTAAAATGTGTTAATTTAATTTCGAATATAAAGTTATGTATTATTAATATAATGACATTTAAAATCAAAATTTAGAAATAAATATTGTGTACACTATTTGTACATTATTTTGACCAATTTTTCTAGCTTCTGTACACTATTATCGTTTTCCCACCTGGTCACACTACTACAGATGCCTGATCTGCACGTGTTTAAACTGATATGCTATTATAATGTATCTCTATGTAAAAACACGATAGGGAGAACTATTGTATAAACTCTGTAGTATAATATAATATTAAATATATTTAAATTCAAAGTTTAAAAGTAATTCATTCTCAATTATTATATAATTCTCAACAAACCTGGTGTTAATCAAATAGTGAATATGCTATTTAGAAATGTACTCAATATGTATTAAACTAAAAATGTACTAGATGTAAAAACTAATTATATTAGAAATGTATTAAAACATGTTTGTTCATCTCAGATAAATAAAGGTAATGTATCTAGGTTTAATTAATTTTGTAACTAGATAAGTGTTTCATGAAGAATGGACATTTGTACAATTTTCAGGAAAAATGTGGCCATTAAAGAGATAATCTGTGAAATCAGATATAATTAACTAATTAATTCAAAAAGCATAGAATTGTTTACAAACTTCATAACAGCGCCAATAATTAATAGTAAAGAAGTTATAACACGAAAATCCAAACTTTTTCTCACTTATTCTCTCCAATAATGTTAATAACTATACGAAAATTGCAAATAAATCAATAAATATTTAATACAATCAAATCAATAATCAATACTTACCTTAATCTGATTTCTCAACCGTATTATAAGTTTATGTTTATTTGCTTTCATATATGTGTTAATCATTTCGTATACAATTTGTTGTGACTTTTTTGCTCTATAATTGACGGCCGAAGTGGCAGAAAGATTATATAGAAATAGCATCGAAATAAATATGGATAAATAAATAAATGTTAATTTTATATATATAACGAGTTTGCAAAACAGTGCTATAAATACCACTACAACTATAATAAAACACATGCTTAGCCAAAATGTTAATAAAAATGTAGACCAATAACTAGTGTTGTAATCATTGACTTCTGTATACAAGTCGGTGAAATTGCGATCGATTTGCAGTGAATTATTAATGTCTTGTATTTTGAGTAAATGGGAATATTTTTTAGTTAATTCATTGATTTTAATGATACAATATTGACAAATTATGTTCAAATACATCACTTGGTAGGCTATTATATTAAATATATAATAGTTCCATGCGCCATAAAGCAATGCATTTGGGATTCCGTACACTATTGTATTAAATAGTGTTGTGTTCAATGCACACAAAGCTAATGCTTCAATCGTGGTCACTATGACTATAGTGTAGGTGTTATTTTGATAAATCATTTGAAACATACGTTTGGATTGTTTGGCAAACTTTTCAATCACTACTGCATTTGTGAGACCAATAGATTTCGGCGAACGTAAACCCGAAAGCATTGCGAATATTGACATATATTTCAATTCAACGCCATTTCTATACACATAATAATTATGTATTTGTGATAATATACACCAAATTGAAACTACTATTATGATTGGATTATAATAAATGGGATCTAAATAATAGTATAAAAAATCTCCGAGTAATAAATGAATCAATTCGTTGTCACCACTGATTGCGAGAACTAATACTTTCATTACTAGAAATACATTAAAAATAATGAATACAAACAATGGATTATTAAACCATTTTCTATTGAATCGTAATTCATATGATGTGAAACTCAAACCTGTTTTATATAAAATATTATTCAAATCTATAATAACTAAATTATCCGGCAATAACTTATTTACATTTAAGAAACTCATATTTGAATACTGTTACTGAAAATATGTATTCTCAGTTAATAAATAAATAGTGCTATGAATTAATATATTGCTATTTAAGTAAATAAACGCATTTATAAATAATAATAATTAAATACTGTATATGAGAAATTATAATATCAAATAAAATTAAATTCATCTCAATAAAAATATTATATATGCAAACTTTTAAATCTATTCCTAACTTCAATTTTATAACTTAATAAAAGCATAATTTATATTGATTAACAATTACCTATTTTTTATCTGTTTTAACAAACTCAAAATATATTTCATTTAATATTATCTAAACTTAAGATATCTAAGTACAGTAGTCTATTTCAATATGTCATATAAATATAAAATTTGAAATATCATATAAATGATAAATGAGCGTGTTTATTGTTATGAATATCATTATAAAGTAAGTTTAGATAATATTAAATGAAATATATTTTGAGTTTGTTAAAAAAAACATCATAAATTAACTGTGCATGATAGATAAATGTTGATCAATATAAATTTTGCGTTTATAAAGGTATTCACAAATGCATGAAAACTTTAATTTTATTTAAAACTTTTATTTAAGTTTTGTGCACAAGGAGTGCGAAATGTAAAGTGGGTTACAATGGGTTACATTTTTGTGGCGATTGCATGGACTGATATCCAATTCATCATAAGTATACTTTGAAAGTATTTCGCAAGTTTTGGTAAAAATACTTTTGGTGAACTAGACTTATACTTTACTCTTAAAGTTGAAGTCTTGCCCTGACTTTGAGAGTAAGTATCTTTTGATAAACGCTACTTTACTTTACTTATCCATTTTAGTGTTGTTGTTAATACAGTTTGTTATTGAAAAATATTGTAAATAGATGTTCTTAGATGACTCTGTTTACTATTTTGCATATTAAAGTTAAAGTTAAGTATTCTTTTAATGAACGCTAACGGATTAATTTTTAAAAATTAATCCAAAGTAAAGTTAAAGAAATACTTATGATGAATTGGATATCAATCTGTGGTAAGTTTTGACTTTATATAGAGATAGAATGGGGTGACAATTGGGTCAATTTGGGTCAGTTTAGGTACAGTATGTATTGTCGGCAGTGATTGTATGAGAAAAGGGGTTACAATAATGGCTTTTATGGCTTAAAATTAAAGTGAAATGTATTTCACAAATAAGTGAAATATTAAATTTAAGTCTAAATATAATTTATACTTTATACGTTTATTAAGTTATTACTATTGTGACAATCTAGGACAATATGATTAATTAAAATTTTGTTTATAGTTTCATAAAAACCATTAATTAATAGAATATTATCGATTTTAAGTCACAAAGTCGCCTAGACGTTATACAGAGTCTGTATGCAGAATATTTGACATTTATATTTTACTGTTGATGCTAGGATGCTAGGACTTAATTAAGTTTATCATATAATTATCAATGAATTTAATTTATTAGTGATTTTAGTTATTATCAAAGCATATCTTATAGGAAATAGTGAGCCCAAACGCCATCACAAGTTTCATGAAACGGGTCACTCAGTACAAGCCGTAAGTCCTTTGGGTCCAAACCGTGGACTTTGGGCGCACCCATCGGCTCATCGTTTAACAGTTGCGGCCAATCAGAGTCCATATGACTGTAAATTAATAATT